ATATAAGGCTTTCTTCTTAGTTTTCCAAATTGACAAGCTGCTGTGGTTTAGTGGCTACAGTGCTTAAAGCCAGGAAGACCTGGGTTCAAGTCCTACTTGTGTCCTATATGCAGGTTATGTGATCCTAGGGAAGTCACTTAACCTCTCAGTACTCTAGACAGTTAAAGATAAGGTGCCAACTTGCGCAGAGGGTTCCCTATACCAATAAAATCACCTGTCCAGTTCTTATTCCTTTCATTGAATGTGTTTGAGGGAGGATGTATTTTAAAAGTGCAAAGACTTTTTCTTTGAAAATTACCTGGATGTTGCCTAATAGTTTTTCTTTCACATGCTTAAAAATAGAAACCTAGTTTAGCAGGATTAACAGCTTCTGTTTTGAACTTGGAGAGCAGCTAAGCCAGGTTAGATAATGAAGAAAATGAATAGGGAAAGCGTTGTGATCCTGTGATCATATTAATTGTCCGCTTATAGGTCCGATCTTGTCAGGCTTCTGGTCTAAACCTTTCACAAGTTAATGAATAAAATCCATGTTTAGTCTGACATTCAAGGTCTTCTACCATCTGTTCCACCTTTCCAGCCTTATCTGAGAGGACTTCTCAGCTTTGTACTCACTGCACACTAGTCAAACTGGATGAATCCTATGACATTCCTGTACTGTTCAAAGTAATTAAACACTTTCTCTGAATGCTTTTTTGTTCACAGTTTTGTATGCTTAGAATACCCAAATCTCCCCAAAATTCTACCTCCCTCCCTAATCAGAAGTGATCTCTACTTCTCTAAATTTCACATAGAACTTTGACCTTTTATGTATTGATGATTTATTTTGTATTCTAGCCATTTGAGTATACAGTATATTGTATTCTGTTCTGCTGTTCTGATCCCCCATACTCCCCCCCTTCCCCCCCCCCCCGTTGTCCCTCCCCAACCCAACACGATTAAGGTCTGAAAGGGATGTTTTATTTATTTTTCTATTTTCCCAAGCTCTTGTGATAATACTGTGAACCTAGTAAATGCCTAATTAATGTTTGTTGAATGAAATGATATTTATATCTAGTAATTATAGCACTCATGGAATGTTAAAGCTAAGTTGCTTTTTATTTCTGGAGATTATCTTTCAGTAGCATGGTTAGTCTTTGAATTGTCTAATCACTCAAATCTACTATAGGCTAGTAAATAATGGAATTAATTTTGGAAGAGTTTTTTGTATTTCATTTGTCTGCCTACCTAAAGTCCCTTAAAACCTGGCTTATTCTGAGTTGTCAAGTATTAAGCAAATGGCATTTTGCTAAAAACTAATTGACTGGGATGTTCATGTTTATAGTTTATGTTTAGCCCCCCCTTCCCCCTTGAGTTTTGAAATTTTTAGATCCCTGATTTCACTTATTACACTATTGAATTAAGTGGCAGTTAAAGCTAGTGAATATTGATGAAATAAAGGGCTTTTTGCATAACTGTCTAGTTACAGTAAGAGACTAAATCACAGTTAATGATTTCATCTTTGATACATTTTGAATTTCATTTTAACATCATAGCTAGGCACCTAGTATTTTGAAGGTACAATTTAACAGTTGCTTATTTTTATGAGGGAAAGAAACCCTTGGAAGTTTTGCCATTTTAAAATTGGGAAAGGAGGAATAGATTTTTAAAATGAGTGCTCTAATAATAGTGCCATATTTCTTTTATTAAATATATTAAGGTTGTTGTGTTTGACTTCGAAGACAGGCCTGTGTTTTTGTTTTTATGCTTACAGAACTTTTGACAGGTTGGAGTTTCTATACAACTTAAAAGTTCAAGATTGTTGGTTGTAAATATGCTAAATGTTTTTCTTTTAACTCACAGAAACTTTGTTAATCCTGGCACTGGGCTTTTTGACACCAGTAAGATAACCTTGCTGTGGTTTTATTTGCAATCTTCCTAAGACCATGTTCTTGGTGGAGTATGCCAATTTTTTCATATTTGTTAAGGAGAAATTTAAAACCAATAGCTCTTGTTAAAAGACTAGAAAGCTAATTTTATCACGACTTAAAAACACTGAATTAAGCAGGTCCAAATGAAGCCTATGCTATACTTCTTGGAAATGGTTTCAACTTCAGTAAAGGTTATCTAGATTTGGTGGGACTTGAGAACTGCTAGGTTCTATTTCTTGACAGATTATTTAAGTAGGAAAAGTATGTATCATCATAATTTACTGTGTGTAAGAGTGAAGAAGTGAAGGACATATTATATTGCCTTTTTACAGTAGAATAGGGGAAATAGGATTAACATGAAACACAAGACCATGTAAATATAAGAGAAATAAAAACACCACCCACAGACATACACATTTTTAAAGCAGAAAGAAGGGCTTTATTGGATTTCCTGAAGTGCATTTTTATCTTTATTTCATTACATAGGAACAAAGTAGATTAATAAACCAGAAGGGTCATTCTGCATCTTCTGTGTATTCTTTTTCTGCTATGGTATATAACTCAGTTTGTCCAAAACAACTTATTATCTTCCTCCCAAACCTTACCCCTCCTCCAGACTTTTTTCTGTCAAGTGTACCACTATCCTTCTTGTCATTTAAGTTTGGAACCTTGGAGTCATCCCCCATTAGATCCGGAATTTGTCTCCTCAGGATAGAGGGCCATTACTTTAGTTTGGGCCCTCATTACCTCCAATCCTGGCAATTTTAATAGCCTCCTAATTGGTCTCCCTATTCTTGTCTTTCCCCTCTGCACTCTGTCCTCCACATACTTGCCAAAGTGATTTTCTCAAAGCACTTCTCTGCTCAACAAGCTCCAGTGACTCCTTGTTACATGCAGGATCAAATAAAAACTCTCTTTGGCATTTAGAACCTGTCGCTTTCCAGGACTATTGCACATTAGACCTCTTCACATATTCTTAGGTTCTATCTTCCATCTCTGGGCCTTTGAACAGACTGTCCCTGCTTAGGATACCCTACCTTCTCACCCGCAGGGTTAAAGAGGCCTATGTCTCTTCAGAGCTCAACTCTGATCCTATCAGCTGGTAGTCCCCCCATCCCCACTGACTGTGTTTATTTTATATATACTTATATATGTGCATGTTATTTGCCGTATGAAACGTAAGCTCCTTGAAGGCAGGGACTGCTTAATTCTGTCTTCAGGTATATGCTCAGTATTGGGATCACTGGGTCACAAGGTATGAACAGCTTAGTCACCTACGTAATTTAAATACATTTTAACATCCTTTTTTAGATTAAATGAACACTCAATTGTTTTAGTCAGTGTAATCCACTTTATTATTAAAAAGTTGTGGCAAAGATACTTCATCACCCCCTTCAACATACAGGGTCAATTTTTTATCTAATCTTAAAGTCCCTGGAATTTGAAATGCCTGACATTCTAGTAAATGTGACATTGGACTCTGTTGCTTAACTGGTATTTGTTATGTTGTCTCAATAAGTGCTCAGAAAACTCAGAAAAGATACTGCATGATGATTAGAGGTAAAGTGATTTCCAGGTTCTTTTCATTCTTTGCTCTCTATTTTGTTTTTGTTTTTAATTTTTTTATTAATTTATTTTGATTTATCAACAATCATTTTCATAAGCTTTTGAGTTTTAAATTTTTCTCTCCCTTCCCAAGACGGCGCAGTCTGACATAGGCTATACGTATACATTCCTATTAAATACATTTTTGCATGAGTGATGTTGTAAGGAAGAATTAGAAACAATAGGCTTTGCTCTCTATTTTAGAAAGGTTTAGTATCTGTATGAATGGCTTTGGAGGTTTTTTACAGTGGATATAGTTTTCACATTTTAAGTTATCTTTCTTTGTTGTTTAGAATAAACAACTTTTAAGAAAAAAGCATTATTCCCATAGCCCTAACAAGAGAGAGTTTTCCATGGAAAGAACTAGGACAAAATATTTTCTAACTTTGTTTCAAGCCATTTGATTTAGAAATTTGGTGTGAATTTTGAATTATTTGTATTTAGCTGATTAGATTCCTAACTAAATAGTAAATAAAATACTTTCAGGTGTTGTATATCTTGTAATCAGTCCCTTGAAACTGTTGTTACATTATTTTTGGTAGGAGGAGATAGTGTCAGAGCTGGCACTAGAATTTACTTTTCCTGAGTTTCAGTTCAGTGCTTTATCCATTATATCAACTACGGCTGCTAGTCCTCATTCCGACATTTGGGACAGAATAAACCTGTAGTCCATATGACAGTCAGCTGGCATTTATTAAGCATTAACCTTGTGCCAGGCACTGTGCTAAGCACTGGGGATACAGAGAAAGGCAAAAAACAGTGTAGATACACACAATTAATTATCTGTAGATATCAGTGTGTCTACACACAAAACGTTCACATATATACCTAGATATATTTAATCTATATATACTAGTCTATATGTATGTATTTATAGCACGCTTACGTTTACGCACGTGTGTGTGTATATATGTCTGTACATATATATGCATGTCCATACACACACTTACACGTGTAGAGAGCCAGCCTCCCCCCCCCCCGCGGTCCCCAGTGCCTGCCTGTCTCTTACAAGTGGGTCCCCAGGCCTTCACACCAACAGTGCGCACGCAGCCGGGGACAGAGAGGCCCCTCCCCCCCGCCCCCACATCTGGGGCACCTCGGTGCCGTCTGCGTTGGGGGCGGGGCCTGGGGGCACTGGAGCTTCCGAGAGGGTCCGGATCCGGGGGGCTGCTGCCAGCGCGCCCTGGCCTCGGCCCCGCAAAGCTGCCGAGCATGACAGCGTGAGAGGCCGCCCGTCCGTGCTCCGGGAAGGGCCCGAGGGCGCGCCTCCCCGCCGTGCCCCGCATGCCCGGACCGTGCTGGGGCCTGCGCCGCCTTTACCCAGCAGGGCTTGCGAAGCGGCCTCGCTCTGCGGGGGGGCCCCCCAGTCCCCTGCGCCGCTGCGGACGTGCGAGCTGCAGCCCCGGCAGTGGCGGCCTGCTGATGCAGGAGTCAGGTGACAGGGAGGGGCGGGGCAGAACGCTGACTTAGCTCCGGGATAAATTTTCGCCCCATAGCAGCAACTGCTAAATTGGCTGCTGCGGGCTTTGTTTTCCTGGCGTCCTCTGGCTGGGAGCGTTGTCCGGCCCACTCGGCGGCACTCAGCCACGAACGGTATATACGCCCGCGGTGTGCCCCGGGACCCCCCAGCGGGCAGCAGGGAGTGGAGGGTCCGGGGGAGGAGAGGGAGTGGAATGAGCCCGTGTGGATGGAGATGACCCCGAAGCCAGGACTTTAAATGGCGCATGCTGGAGCCGGCCGTCGCCGCCGCGCTGCTGGCTGCAGGCTGTCAGGTGGCGGGGGAGCGGGCGGCGAACTGACGTGTCGCGAGTAGGGGCAGAAGGGAGTTTTTCGTAAGCCTGCAATACTACTAGAAAGTGTCCTTGGAAACCTAGAAAGTTGAATGAATCAGTTTGTGACTTGAAATGGAAAAGCATTACGTGGCACCGGGCAGCAAAACTTTGCGGTCGCTTTTCGGTCTTTAGGTTTGAGAGTTTGAAGTGCTTGACCTACCCATGTAAATCTAGCACCAATATATGCATATTTACTTGTACTGTACATATATAACCCATATTGATTGCCTGTGGTGATCTAAGGGAACTGGTTTTTAAATAATTGAAAAGGGTAGTAGTGGTTTAATGGATTGTGCACTTTTTTGTTTTTCAGAAGATCAAACAGTTGGAAGGAAGAAAACCTCAAGTAAAAAAGAACCTTTTCAAGGTAAATTTAAACAGTTTAAGAAATCTAATGATGGTTATTTTCCAGTTTTGCAACTGAAATATTTGTTTAAAATTTTTTTATTTTGAACTTGGTAACACCAGGAAGTATGAACATTTGCATATAAATCCAGAAATTTCATTATATATGTCTTGTTTTTTAAAAAGTACATACCAAATTCAACAATATTTCTAAAAACTGACCTGTGTCTTTTTTCAGCTAAAGTATTTGTACTGCTAACCAAATATCGTTTAATAAATCAGGAAAATCAGATTTACATTAACAATTGGCATTAAGGTTTTTTTAATTTCAGGTGTATATTTATCCTATAGAAAGTTTTCGAATGCTTGCAAAAGTGAATTAAGATACTAAGAAAAGGAGTAAAACTCATAGCTTTTTTTTTTTTTAATTTGAAATCAGATAATTTGAGATCTGGGCATCTTTAAAAGAGTGTGAGAGATTCTCAGGGGTTCTTAACATTTTTTCTATTACCGACCTTTTTGGCAGTCTGTTGAGGCCTATGCACCCTTTTTGAAAATGCTATTTTTAAGTGCATAAAATAAAATAACCAGTTTTGATTTTATTTTTACCAAAATAAAGAAACCAATTATATTTACTGACCATCATCAAAATGGTAAAAACAAACCCCACACATTCACCAGTCTACTGAAGTAGGGGTTCATGGACCCCAGGTTGAGAACCTCTGTTCTAGTCCAGTCCTCTCATTTCACCTGTTAAGAAATAAGACTCTCCCTACTCCTGGGTAAATAACTTGCACATTATCTTTTGGCTAATTAGGGGCAGAGTTGAGACAAAAAGCCCCCTTAGGTTTCCTGTTTGGTAATCTGGTCTCTAACTATATTCTTATCAGTCTAAATATATCATTATTAGCAGGGCTGTTTTCTAAAGGAGTTTTGATAAGATTGTATGGGAGGAATGAAACACCTGAAAAACTGTGGTTATTGGTCATTAAATGGATAATTTTAAAAGTAGTTTGAATTATTTTTTCTTTGGGAAAAAGTGATAAATATTAAACAATAATTTTTGATCCAGCTTATAATTCTGACCTTGATGTCACCAGGATTTAAAAAAACTGAAATACAATAAAGGATCAGACTGAAAATCTTTAGTAATAAAGTTAATTCTTGCCAAGGAGTGAGTGAATAGGCTTAATTCTTTCTGGAGTCGTTTATGTTTTAACCTGAGCTGCTTAGCCCAAATGAAACTCTGATGGGTGTGATCTGCTTTTAACGCCATCTCTTCCTGCCAGTAGTTAGTCCACCAGGGAGTAATATACATGGATTCAGCAATGGAGCAGCGAACTGCGACTTGGAAATCTCCTTTCTCTTCAACAACTTTGTACCCCTTGGTATTCAGAGTAGTAGTCACTGCTTTGGGAAAAAACCTGCAGCTTGAATAATAATAGTCACTCAAGTTTTTATAGGCTTAAAGGTTTACCAAGGGCTTTATATTTAGCTCATTTGAATAGTTCAGGGTCTTTTGTACTTAAGCTTTTCCTATGTCCACTGTCCCATTCCCTGGTGTGACCTCAATCAGTAAGCATTTATTAGGTGCCTACTGTGTGCCAGGCACTTTTATTAGGTGCTGTTGATACCATGAGGAGTGAAACAATCCCTGATCTCAAGGACTTCATATGCAGTAAAATGCTACTCTGAACAGTACTATATCGCAGTCTGATATGGTCGGGTATTGTCACCATTTTACACATGAGAAAACTGGGGTGGTAAGGTCTTAAATGGCTTGTTCAGTGTTGCCCAGTTAATCATAAAGCTGGAAGTAGAACTCAGGTCTATTGCTCTTCCCAAAACATTACAGATAAAAAGCTCTAATGATCTTTGCACTCTTTGAGCTGAGTTTCATTTCCTTTCAGATGTGTTTTAAAAAAATAAATCCTACTACTGCATTGCAAGTAGAAGTTTCTCTGTGAGGAGAAAAAGCTTCTCTGTGTCATGGAGAATAAATCTGTTATTTTTCCTTTGTAAAGTGGATTTATAGGGACATGTTTCATTGAATTTCATTTCTCACTTCTGGGTGGGGAAGTATAGGGCATGAAATAATTTTCAGAATCTTTATAGCCAAAGGAAAGGTCAGAGTTTTAAATCCTTTGATTTGTGGTGCAATTGTGTTTCCTTTCACTACCTTCTAACTCTAAGTTGTGCAAAATGTTCTTTAAGTTAGCCATAAATGGTGTTAGAGTTCTTTGAAAAAATGTAGTGAACAGTATCAATTAATTTTCTTATTTTGCTTCTATTTACTTACCAAATCCTTTTGATCCTCCCTCCGTAATAGCCATTTATACTTGAAACAGCAATTAGACATGTCAACTTAACATGTACTGTTGTGATGACCTTAACAAATTTCCCTGCCTCTCCTCTCCTCAGTCCATCATTTATGTATTTACGAAGCATGCTTCTTAGTGCTCTCTGGATTGACCTTGTCATTCATTCACCTGCCTACAAACCTTCCCTCATTCCTTATTGCTGAAGAGTATAAAAGACAAACTCCTTATCCTGGCATTTAAGACCTTCCACAGTCCCTTTAAATGCACTCGGTGTTCCATCCAAGCATTTTCTCATGGCTTACACTCCCCGATATTTCCGCAGGATGCATTCCCTTCTCATTTGCCTGTTAAAATCTTCTACAGTCTTGAAGAAGCTATACTTGATGAAGTCTTTCCTAATGTAATAGATCAGTGTTGATCATTCCTTCATTAAATTTCCCTGGAGCATTTTTATCTTCATTACAACTACTTTGTTCTTTACTACATTACTCTACAGAATGTCATACGTGTTGTCTGTAATGGTACATTTCCTCTTTACATTGTAAATCCTTGAGGACGGGAGCTCTGTTTTTTCATCTTTGATTCCCTAGTGTTCCTTTTGGTGATGTGCATGTAGTAGGTGCTTAGTAAATGCTTGTTGAATTGTACTTTGTTCTCTTTAACCTGAAAAGATGTAGACAGAAATATAACAGCCTGGGAAGTTTTGAAACTGACTTAAATATTTGTTTTAAAATAGTGGTGGAGATGCAAATTTGTAAATCTGGAGTGGAAAGAGAAAGTTCATCTTTTTTCCTTCTCTGGGCCCTGGGGTTTGGAATGTAACCTCTTATTTATCATGATTTCTAAAGGGAAAATCAGATTGCAATTCAATCTTAGTAAAACTCTTTTCTGTGGAGTAAAAGGGATTGCTCAAAACAAATCTAGAGCTGGGTTACTTTTTTCTTTGGATGAACCACTCAAAGATTTCTTTCAGAGCATTTGCATTTCTATTGAAAGTATTCCCAGCCACACATTCTAGTATTTGGTAATTGGCACTTTCTAAGAGTATGGGCCTTTGCTAGAATGAATTAAAAATGCTAGATGCTCAGCACTGGAGATAGAAACAAAAAAGCAAAGACTGCCTTTACTCTCAAAAAGCTTATATTCTAACATGGGAGACAATACATGTTAGGAATAGTGGCCGAAAAGGGATGTTGTGATTTGGAAATCCTTTTGGAAAACATATTTAGATATTGCTCTTTGTTTAAAAAAACAATTATTGAAGTATAATTTTTTTCAAGATTGCATCCAAGTGGCTTTTAAACCTTGGGATAGTCCTCTGAACTGAGTCTAATTATTCCCAGGGAGTTAAAAATGAGATAAGGCCTGTTTGAAGACCTTATTTCTAGAGACTTCTGAATCACATCAAGTGTCCCCAATTTTTAAGTCTTCGTAAACAAAAGAAATGTTTTGCCTGCATTGGTTCTTATTTTTTAATCCTGTGATTGTTTAGTGCTCACATTTTGGCTTCAAGATCATATGGTTCCAACATATTAATACTGACCACATACATGATAAAATATTTAAGTAATGAAAAAAAAGTGAAGGTTAGACTATGAATATTTGTTGTTTTGCCATTTCTAGGACTGGATGGATATCTCTATCCTATTTAAACTAAGGTTCACACAAGGGAAATTTTGGTGTTAGTCCAAGTCAGCAACCTGAATTTAATTTGGACTTTCCTAATCATGCGATATAATTTACATTGGTATATTTTAGATGCGTTATTTCTTTTAAATATCAACTTACTTGGTTTAATTTAGAGTGATTTGCTTTTATGACATACTGTGTTGTTCCTTAAACTTACATAACTCCTTCTAGCTTCATGTACAGAGAACCAACTTCCTGTAGCCCCAAAGTGGTCTTGTGTTATTACTAACAAGTTGACTTCCTAGATTACATAATAATCATTTTTATAGCTCATTTGTAAGATGACAGTTGGGCTCACCCTGTAAGGCATCCTAATAGCTTTTTTGGAATCATAGAATTTTTAGTTGGTAGAATTTTAAAACTTGAAGGGACCTTAAGATACTCTAATCCATCCTTCTCAGAGCCTAGAGTTGCCAAGTTTTGTTGATTCCATCCTAACTTAATCATCAGCAGACAACTATTTCAATATACAAAAAACAATAGAAAGATGTCATATGAAACTTCTTCATGGTATCTGTTTGCTCTCTTCTCCATTCACAATGCTTTATTCTAATTCAGTTATGTTCCTGCTATTGTGTCTAGGATAAAATACAAATTCCCTAGGCTGACTTAAAAAAAAAAAAGCCTTCCACAATTTGTCTCAAGTCTACATTTCACTTTTTTTAAATGTGAATTTTGAAATTTCAACTTTTTTATTAGTACCTTTTTGTGTCACTTTGTCTTTTTTTTCTTGTTCCTCTGCCTTTAATACACTCTGCCTGTATTATTCTGCTTCTGGTGCATGATGAATCCTTCCTAGTAGATTTTAAATTCCTTGAGGACGTGGATCATCGGTTTTCATTTTTGTGTCCCCAGTGCCCTACACATTATTAATAGGTGTTTAATAAATGTTTGAATTTACAAAATTGGAACACATATATGGTCCCACATAAATTCATAAATATATTGTACTAGAATTAATAGGTGAAATTGTTTGAATTTGAGAGAAGTTGCTCTGTAGATTCAGGGAAATCATAACTTACACTTTCACCAAATGTCCCTTGACATGAGGTATAACAAACATTTATAGAATTTGAGAGCTAGATGGGAAATGGTGAAAATCAGTAAATTTTTGATAGTTGAGATGTCTAAAATGGTACATTTAGGGAGAAGTATTAATGTTCATCTTACTACTATTGTGCTTTATTTTTTTTTTAAAGGAACAGGGTTCATCATGAATATAACACAGGACCAGAGTGTCAGTTCCAGCAATAAAGAGCCGCTGTCCAGGTGCTGTGAAGCCAGGAAGGAGTTGGAACATGCCATTGGTGGTGTGCTCAAGGCTGAACAGCACATTAAAGATAACTTGAGAGAAGTATGAAGTTTGTGAATGTATCCTTCTTAATCTGGGATATCAGTACAGTTGAGCATCATGCTTGTGACTGAGAAGCCAAGTTCATAGGGTTCCCTGTATGGATTACTTAGTTTCACTATTTCACCTCTGTTCTGTACTCTTAATTCTGTTTAGCTGTCCTGACAAATTTAGTGCTGGGGGAACTAGAGTCCACTTTCCCTACAGAAATTTAGTTCCTTTTAAGTAGCATTTATTGAGTAGATCTACAGTGTGTCTGTACTGTGGAACATAACAAAAGACAAGTCAGAGAACTGTTGAACATAGGACTTCTAAAGGAAAGAAGAAAAGTCTTGTCTTCATATATAAAGGACATACATTTTTCATATACCATCCTAAGTGTACAATTTTTGTGTCATATTTTTATAATCCTCTACACTGCCTCTTGTAGAAATCTAGGTTATTGAAATACATCTCTCATTGACCTAATGTAGTTAGTGGCAGAATTGGTTTATTTCAAAGTCCTAAGGATTTTAAAGTGTAACTTGGTTATATAGCAAAATGCATTTGAAAAATGGCAACATCCATGTAGAACATGATATAAAAGTGTTTGGTTTTTGTCTATCTTGGAATTTCAAATTTAGGCCTCTTTGTATCACTGTTCATATAATTTTCTTGAGGCATTTTACATTAATCTTGTTTAAACTGTCATATCAGTCATCTTCAGATGTTGACATGTAACATGTTGGATTAAACAGGTATTACTCTGAATATCTCCTTTTTCTGTGGGTATTGATAGTGAGATAACTGCTAGATCATGACTCGTTCCATGGATAATTGTAATTATAATGCTTAAAATTACTTAGAAATAATAATTATTATTTATGATTGGGTTACTGTTATAAGAGAATCCTTTTATTGACTTTTCATTTGCTATTGACTTTGAGGTATTTTTTTTTAAAAATTGCAAAAGTAAATATAAATCATCTAGGGGCAATACTGGTAAAGTTTTAGGGGCTAGTCATGTCCCTGGAAAGTTAAATTACAAAGGCTTTGTTCTGGTATTTAGACGAAATTTGGTTTCAACTAGAATTGTTGCTGTATGAGGTTTACTGGAACTTATGTCTGTCTCTTAGGTTAAAGCTCAGATTCACAGCTGCATAAGCCGTCATCTGGAATGTCTGCGAAGCCGGGAGGTGTGGCTGTATGAGCAGGTAGATCTCATCTATCAACTTAAAGAAGAAACACTTCAGCAGCAAGCCCAACAACTGTACTGGGTAAGATGGGCTCATAACTCTTATTTATAATCATAGACTGTTAGAACTGAAAAGGAACTGGGGGACTGTGTAGTCCAGTTTTCTTTGTTTTCTTTTTCTTTTCTTTTCTTTTTTTTTTTTTTTGATGTGGAAACCAAAGCTGATAGAAGTGAATCAGCGAGCCCAAGGCCACACGGTTTGTAGCAGAGCTGGGTCTAGAATCCAGGTCTCCTTAATCTTATTTATGCCACTATACACTGCCTTATAATTGTCCCTCTTGTAAAATATTTATATATGAATATTTATTTCCATGATGTATGCATATGTAGCTATAGATCAATAGATCTTAAATACATGTTGAAACTTAAATATGATTTTTTTTTTACCTTGGATACATAATATATCTTTAGTAGGATTAAAGTCATGTTGCTGTACTTTTCTTATAGCTACTGGGACAGTTCAATTGTCTTATTCACCAGTTGGAATGTACCCGTAGTAAAGATCTAGCCAATCAAGTTTCTGTGTGCCTGGAGAGGTAAATAATCTTTGAATGCCCTGAATTGTTCTGTTTTTTATTTAAGTGTATGTTAGAAAAAAGAAATTTTAGCTGTTGCTTTGTCTTGATTTTTTAAACCTCATGTAATTGAGATTTTTCTGCTCGGCACATTTCACATGACTACTGGTAGTGTATTAAACAGTTATGTCTTCCTTCTTACCTTTTTTTTTTTTTTTAAAGTACAAGATTATATTATGAGTTAAAAGGTAGCTTAAAATTTTTTTTCAAAGCGGAAATGAATGGTCTGGATGTCATGGGAAAGTTTTTCTAGTTCTTAATGATTAAAAAAGAAAAGTTTGCTTCTAGGCTGGGTAGCTTGACCCTCAAACCTGAAGATTCAAGTGTCCTGCTGTTTGAAGCTGATATACCTTCTCTTCGTCAGACCATCACTACATTTGGCTCTCTCAAAACCATGGTGAGTGCCTTTAATGTTTGTGATAAGAGCATGTGAGCTGTTTTTGGATTCTTCCCTAGTTGGTGTGCCTAATGGTGTATAGGTCTGTTCAAGCTACTGTTTTAATGGTTTTTATGAGAATTTGTTAATAGCTTTGGTGTTGGCCCTCCTTTTAAATTCGATTATATGGCACCAAAATTCCAAATAAGTGAAAAGTTTAGGGGTCACTTATTTTACCTTGTTGAAGTAGATTTTTAAAATACTGTTATGCTGTTATTCATGTGACTTAGCTTTTAGATTTGTGCTCTTCATATGAGACTATCTCTTTCTATTTAAGGTCTGAAGTAATGATATTTTATTAAGAATCAGACATACATTTTGGCACAAAGGCATTTGCTGCTAAGAGTGAGAGTTTCATGCTTCTACCAGTAGACAGTGGGGCTTGTCTTGCTGAAGTAGGCTGTGTATATAGCTTAATTAATTTTGAGAATTGTACCTGCACTATATTGGAAATTTATAGATGATGAAAATGGGAAGGGAACCTAAGAGAACTCTTACCCTGACTTCACTTTAGGGATGAGCAAATGGGCTGGTGAGGGGAGGTGACTTGTTCAAGGTCAAAGGCCTCTTTGTAGCAGGACTACAAGAGCCCATGTTGTGTTTCATTTCCATTTCAAGTGAAATACTTAGTTTTATTGTCTTTGCGTTTGCTTTACTTTTAACACTGGGATTTTTCTTTTTGCTTTCAATTGATAAATGAACCTAAAACTTCCATCAATATATATTACAAGCATTTAAACAAGAACCAGAACACAAAACAGCACAAACAAAATCATAATCAAAAACAAAAATCCTTGGGGCAGCTAGATGGTGCAGTGGATAGAGTACCGGCCCTGAAGTCAGGAGGACCTGAGTTCAAATCCAGCCTCAGACCAAACACTTGACTCTTACTAGCTGTGTGACCCTGGGCAAGTCACTTAACCCCAACTGCCTAAAACAACAACAACAAAAACCAACCCTCCAAATAACGAAACTCTAGCAAACAAAATGAAAAGGATGGGGGGGAGGGTTACCATATGATTTGAGGGGGTTTCAGAGTTTGAAATTTTGTGGTGTGATAAATGGGATGACTCTTTCCCTTTAAGCAAATCCCTGAGCACTTGATGACTTGTGCTGCTTCGCCCAGTCCTGGGCCACCTGGAGAGAGAAAGGCGTCTCTCCCCAAGCAGGAGCAGGTAAGTGTGCAGCTGTTTCTGTATCTGAATTGGTTGCTTAAGCTTCAATTTTAATTTGAGTCCAAACTCGCTTGTGGGATTTCAGTTATGTCAGTTTTGTTGGATGTTCCAGAGCTAGCTAAGCTTTTTTCCACCAAACAGGAGTTGGCACATACTTAATAATGACTGTTGTACTGTTTGATACTTTGGTTGATGGGGCTAAATATTGCCCCATCACCTAGTTCAGGCCATCATCACCTCAAATTTATCACTCCCCCCTTCTAGTATAAACACATCTGCCTCTCCTAGGTGGTACAGTGGAGAGGAGCACTGGGAATGGAGTCAGGAAGGCCCAAGTTCACATTTAGTCTTTGGCATTTACTAGCTGTATGACCCTGGGTTATGTAAACAGGTTTTATATATTTGCCTTAGTTTCCTCCACTCTAAAATGAGGATAACAGCACCCACCTCATAGGGTTTTTGACAGGATCAAATAAGATAATATTTGTAAAGCACTTAGCCCAGTATCTGGCTAGTAAATGTATAAATGATTATTCTCTTTTTTCCTCTTCCCAGTCACTTAGGTCATACCCTTAACTTTTCCCTCTCCGCCATCACATTTTGTATGTCTTTCCTCTTATTTCCACACAGCCACTATGTTAGTTCAGGTTCTTATAATCTCTTGCCTGGACTATAATAACTTCCTAATTAATCTTCATCTTAAACACAGCTGCCAAAGTGATTGTGAGGTCCAGTTCTGGCCATGTCATTCCTATGCTCAAAAGTTTTCTGGGGTTCCTATTATTTCTAGTATAAAATACAGCTTGCTTAACTTGGTATTTTAAGCCTTTTACAATCTGGCTTCAACTTACTTTTCTGCTATATTTACCATAAGAGCATAGAGCTAGAAAACTCTGGACCAAACCCTCCAGGGAAACTTGTGTTCCTCAAGGCTCTGTCATTTGCCGGTGAAAGACCTAGGCCTCTTTACTTCTAACTCATTTTCCACTGTACCAAGCTGTATCTGTTGCATGAAGTGGGAATGGCCTAATGAATATAATTAAGCAGTGGTGTCATCTGATTGGCAGAAACCATCATTCCACCCTTCATTTATCCCACTTCGTGATTGGCTTCTTAGAAGCAAACCAGCCTCAACTCATCTGTCTCCTTATGTACCCAGCACCAACCCCCAGGACTGGCTTAACAAAAAGCAAACTTTGACAAGCAGCCAGGTACTTGTGTGTATGTATGTGTATGTAATTACATTTTTATGATTAAGTGTGCTGAATAGAATAAATTTAGTGGTGAACTATTTATGTTGAGGGTGATAAGGTTAGAATATGCTTTAAATACTAATTGAACATCAGAACAACTACTGTGTTAAAACAGTGGTCGTCAGTTAATTTAGAGATGATGGATAATTGTAAACAGTGTAACATCCTTTTTATAATGTACATAAAACTAAGAATTCTGCTAATTGTAGCAAGAAATGTTAACATTGTGCTTTTTGGATAGGGTCCCTCCCAAACCTGCAACTTTAATATCAGTAACATCTGGGGCAACTTCAAGGGCTTGGAAAACTGGCTCCACAAGCAAGATATTTCTGAGAAAAGAAGCCCCCCAAAGTGGAATAGCCCCTTCTCTGCAGAAATAGAAAAAGGGGCTAACCTAGAGCTCCCTGAAGAAGAAATGGATCTTTCTGATTGGCTGGTTACCTCTCCTGAGCCTCAGAATGGCAACTTGGAAAGAGATGAGAAATCAAAGCTTTTCCAACTTTTCAAGGAAGATTATAATGCAAATGATTGGCTTCTCAAGCCTGATTCCTGCACTAATTGTCAGGGCAACCAGCCCAAAGGTGTAGAGATTGAAAATTTGGGAAATCTGAAGTGCCTGAATGAGCACCTGGAAGGAAAGAGGCCATCGCCCCCTTCCCCCACACCAAGTGAAAATTGGATTGTCCAGCATCATCAGGTTCCTTTTAAAGTTGAGGAGGTGTGCAAAGCTAATGAGCCCTGCACCAGCTTTTCAGAGTGTGTTTGTGAAGACCAGTGTGAGAAGGAGGCCTTGTGTAAGTGGCTCCTGAAGAAGGAAGGGAAAGATAAAAATGGTGTCCTGGTGGACCAGCTGCCAGTTCTGAAACCTGAGCTATTGAAGCTGAAATCTTCCTTGAATATGTGGCTCTGTCCCTCTAGGGAAGAGGCAGAGGAACAGGCTAAGATACCAAAGCCAACTTCTTGTACAATTCCTGAACCTCTCAAAATTTTGCTGGACAGCCCCTTGTCAGATTGGCTTGCCAAAACAAAAGCCAAAGAAGTAAGAGCATGGGAAACAACCGGTCCAGATGACAAAGTTAGTCAGGAGGGGTTGTCACCACCTAAACAAATGCGTCCTAACTCCATGACCATTTGGCATCACCCAGTTAACGCAGCTGATTGGATATTGCCTTCAAAGAATACGGGAAGTTTTAGCCAGCCACCTGGGGAAGATAAGTGGTTACTTCGAAAGAAGGCCCAGGTGAGCATGGGCTTGATAAACTCTGATAGGATGGTCTGAGACATTCTTTTACCCATGCTATTTAGAACTTTGTTTTTTATACCAGTTTTACAGTGAGTTTTTCAGATATATCAATGGCATTGAGTAATTATTCACATTTTCATATCACTTTAAGGACTATAAAACCCTTCAGTTCAGCAGCCTCATAAGCTAAGTTGTACAAATCTTATAATTCGTTTTACATATGAAACTAAGGATCAGGATTATGTGACTTGTTCTTTATCAGTCACACTCCTAGCTAACAAGTGTGACAGATTGCTAATGGAAGAGTAACTGTATTGGTATTAACTTTGATTTAGATTATTCTCTGGGTTTTCTTTTCTCATTTGGCTGCTATTTCCCTTCCCGTGAGCACTCTGCACATTCTGAAATGGGTGGAATAAATAAAGCCAGTTCATTTTGTTAATTGTTATTTCTGATAAAAAAAAAAAGGTTGGGGATTAATTTGTTTGGCTTGCCTAAATAGGACAAGTAATCGAGAGTTTATTTCAGCCTTTCATTTCTCAGTTGTTGAATATTAACCTCTCATTCATACAGGAGGCATTCCTTAATTCACCCCTTCATGAAGAACATGCGTTTCCCCAGGACCGTTATGGCCTGCCAGCAGTTTGTGATCTTTTTACCTGTATGCAGCTTAAAGTTGATAAAGACAAGTGGTTGTATCGAACCCCTGTCCAGGTAGGTCTCCACCCCTGTCCAGGTAGGTCTGCTCAAATGTGAATGTTGTCATTAATGGCTGAAAACTGCAAACTGATAAATCAACTTGCTCTTAAGTCTTTATTTGCAATTATTCCAAAGAACCTAAGATAAATTATGATTTTATGTTCACTCACTTTCTTTTACCACATAAATAGCTAACAAACTCTTTGTCAAGATGATCTTTCAGGATGGCTTAATTACTGGTAGGGAGATTTTTGTCACTCAAAAGTATTTTAACTTTTAATTAGATATAATCCTATTTGCTGACACTTTATTTATTTGTTGAAAACATCCTCAGATTTAATCTGTTAATTCTTTTAAGACTTAAATTTGCTTAACCATAGGAACAGACTGAACTCTACCCAGAGCAGTCTCAAAATCCACCCCTCTGTAGGTTGTTGTTCAGCTGTGCCCATTTCTTCGTGACCTCATTTGGGGTTTTCTTGGCAAAGATACTGGAGTGGTTTGCCATTTCCTTCTCCAGCTCATTTGACAGATGAGGAAACAGATTGAAGTGACTTGTCCAGGGTCACACAACTAGTGTCTGAGGCTGTATTTGACCTCGTGTCTTCCTGACTCCAGGCACTGAGCCTCTGATAGGTAACAGTTCTACTGTATAGTTTGGTAATGTGGACCTGATTAGTTTCATAGGCTTTTAGATTTAGAGCTGGAAGAGTGGTCATCTAATCCAACAGTTTTTTTTAGAAACATGGTGGAGATTATAGATTTTTTTTTTTTGGTGTTGGTGGGGAATGCCTTCAGTTTGTGACTTTTGCTACTGTGAATCATGTTTTTAGACTTCTCTGTGTTATCTTGGGCAGTTCAGTCATCTTTCCTGGGCTTTGGGAATGGACCTATCACACAAAGGGTTCAAAGGATGTGTACAGCAGCATTTAAGAAGACATTAGCGATCTGCTATTCTAGTAGTATAAGAAAAAGTATGTGATAAAGTAACCATTAAGTCAAGTTTGAATAATACTATTTCTTCTTCCCCTTAAACCTCCCCCCTCCCTAGATATGAGGAAACAAACACTTAGAAACCAAGGAATCTTCCTGCTGATCACCGCACATCCGTGAACCAACTGACTGCAGCTTGCTGAATCATTGTGTTTCTGGATCTTACTAGTATTGTGTTGTGTTTCTTTTATGCCAAATTTTAAACTAGTGAGATTAAACAATAACATATTACTGAGTTAACCTAAAAAGAAAAGCCCACTTGTGAAGAGTACGCACATTTTTAACTAGTTAAGTGCTGCATCAGGGTGCCTACCCTTTACAAAGATACCTCTGTATCTGCCATTTGGATTGTGTTGGAAAGCATACAATGAAATTTCCAAATGAAGTCACTTTTTCTTAACATCCAAGTGCAGCTTTCTTAACCAAAAGTATTGCCCTTTCTGCAGATTTTGACTAATTTTTCTTGCTCTGGATCCTGTCTTAGTGGTCATCAATGATTCGTTTTCTGGTATGCAGTTTTACGATTGTATTCCATGTATAAACTAAATTTGCCAGTATATTGAAGTGTCTACTTTTTAAAGGGTAAACTCGTTAGTCCAGAAACTAAAAAGTAGAATGGCTTTTTTAGCCTCATTGTTAGCTCTGCTCAAGTTTTTTTCCTGTAGGGAAAAATTGGAAACCTTCTCTACAGGTTATTGGGCTGTCTGGTTATCTTAATGCCCCGTATTTTATTCATTTGTCAAGACAGAGCACAATGCATATTGTGGATAGTATGTAATGCAATAAATTGCATCTCATTGTATGATTTTTCTTGGAGTTGAAAGTATTTTAATAGCCAAAATTAGTTGATTAGTAGAATGAAAAGACAAGTGTACTCAGCATTTGGCTTGCTGTGGTTCCATTATACTTGAACTATCCAAAGGGATTGTTGGTGCATCCTGTGTAATAGGAAGATCTTCTACTGCAGCATTATAGACATAACCATTTCAACTATGAGCAAATGAAATGCTGGCTGTCATAACATATACGATACTAGGATAATTTTGGTTTAAGTCCATAAAACATCTCAGTAGATTGTCTTGACTACTTGTGCCTTGGGGCATTTATTTATAAAAAAATTTGTGAAACATTCCCTTCAATGTCCTTAAGTCAAGTTCAAAAACACCGTCCTTATTAATAACAAAGATTTGTGCTATTTTTATTTTCTCACAATAGAGAACTTATAAAGTCTCTTTCTTCCTTCTTTGAATTTTAATTTTTGGAAATCCTTAGCCTCGAACTGGGTTAGGGGACCTCTGGGAGGTCACAAGCTTCCTGAGAGTGCTCTGGACGACTCCACTAGAAGCAATTTTATTTTATTCTATGTCTAAATTTGTATCAGTATCTCTACAAATGTTATAGTCCCACCCAGCCGATTCTAGATCCTTTAAATTAACTTAATATCTTAGGCTCTTAGAAACTTTGTAGACTTCACTGTGTTACTCATTTATTCCTCTCTTGACAATATACTATCGAGTCTGTAAAACATTGTTTGCAGTAATGCATTTTATACAATTGCTGATGATCCTCATTAAAAGCATAACCACCACAGTTTGTCTTATTTTAAATTACTTTAAACATGCCGATTAAAACTTGTAGTACTCTTCAACAGAAGCTTCCAGGATGGAAGATTAATTATGTCTCTTAAATTTTTAAGTTCTTTATTTTGATATTCCCACACATCACAACCATAAATCTCAATGTTTCGCTTAAAACTACTTACTGAGCCTTGGTTGTGACAGACACTTTAAAATGGTACGCAACTTTATTCTGATAGTACGGCTTTTGGTTCGAGGAACACTCTTTATTGGGAATAAAGCAGTGTATTATAGTTCACAATAAATCATTAAATGAATTAACCTGGTGGGTATGATGTTCACAATTATGTGACCTGAATCTGGGAACAAGTCTTATTTCAAAAGTTCAGGGGTAGTGGAGAGTGGACATGCAGCAGAAAGTTTTCAAAGGAGAAAATGATGACTGTGCTACTCAATGAGGCATCAGATGCTTTTGGCTCCAACACTACTGGCTGGAAGAAGTGCCAGTCCTGGTAAACTGTGCCAGTGATCTTCATGACAGTACAAAAGATCCTGTTATTTTTTTTCATATTAAATGTAGGTAGATCAGAATATTGCCCCAAATTGATTTTTACAAATCAACCTGGAGAACTTTTGATGTGTCCTCTATCCATTCAGTTCTCAGTATAAGCTCTAAAGCGACTGTTGTGTCAAGGAACCTTTCATATGCTCCCAGTTGTTATACAATGCATACAGGCTAGTAAGGGTTAGTCCTGTCAGACCACCTCTTGCTACTCCACGAAGACCACCTGGAAGAAAACAGTAAAAGAAATATTAGTATCACAGAGTAACAGCTATCTACCCCCACCAGGGAGCCTTACCCTGGCAAAGAAAAGATGACCCTGTACAGTTAAGCAAAACCAAGCTGCATCAATCACATCTGAAAGCATGGACAGCATCCCATAACCATAGTCCCTTATCTTTTCTTGGGAGCTAAGCTTGGTCATTATAAAGGGAGAAAGTTTAGTGTCAAAACAACTCGAAACAAAAAACAAACGAAAACCCTAAAACTAAAAAAACTCAAAACTGATGTTAAGTCCAAGAAGATAACGAAAAGCCACATATACAACTTGAGCAGTCCAATTTTATTTACTTCTGAGCATCAGCAACAGCATTGGATGAAAGCACTCTTAGGGTAGCACTTCTAAAGACTGCTTATCTGCTGCATAAACCTGAGGACTTTTGGGGGTGGTGTGTATAATCACAATTTTGGTGACACCAGAGGCCCTATAACAGATTAGGCAAGTACTGGGTTTCCAAAACTACTCTTTTCCTATGACCCTACTAATGTGAGTCTGACAATTATAACTCAATTAGTATTTTCAGAGGCCTTTTGACATTGCACTACTTGCAAAACACTCAAAGGACAAGAGTCCAAAATGCATAAGGCAAAGGAAAAGGTATCTTGAATGTCATGTACTTGTTTTGACTTTAAAATGCCAACCTCATAAAGTAAAACTAATAAGAGGGAATTGGGGAAGACAAGTAATGAAGAGTTATTTCATTTGAAAAACGAATACAATAAAATTTTGTAAGGCTTAGCAGAGAAATCTTACTAGGTAACTTTCTGATATAAAAAATATCCCAAAGTCAAGAATATGCTTACAGTTAAAACTTGTCACTTTCTTGTTCACTTAATTTTCCTCTGATTTGGTCAAAGTCCCCACAACAAAATCTTGTTCTGTTTCATAAAATGGAGGTGACCCTGAGTTCTCAATGGCTACGCCTGTGAAGCTCCAGCTTGGGCAGGTCCTGAAAAGCTTGAAAGGTTTCAAGCATGGGCTATACAGAGGATGAGTCTCGCTACATTTAGGGAGATTCAATAGGTCTGCCACAGTTTAATGGATTTTTTGGTGGGGGCAGGAGAGCTCTTAAAGGCCATTTACTAACGTTACAGAAGCATTGCAATCTGTGTTAGAAGAGGGGCTACACACACGTGGACAAAATTACTGATTTTTACAACAGTGTCTCAAGCTGCAGCCTAATTTTTTCAAGCAATGTACTTTAGAACATCTGCAACACATTCATGTGTTAAAAGAACATAGATGGCTTAAAGAACATGGATGTGGTACAAAAGTATTTTCCATCCAGGAGTTTCTGGAGTTTTCATATAGGACTATTGACAGAATGTTTTCTTTAAAAAACAAAACCAAAAACTGCTGCGCCCTGCCCCCCAAATTAACAAACATCAACCTTCTCTCCTCACCCACTTACCCGACAACGGAAAGAAAAAAAACGAAAACCTTTCTAACAAGCAAAACAAATCCCTACATCAGCTACACCCAAATAATGTCTCGACTGAACCCCGAGTCCATCATCTTTCTGTCCAAAGGTGAGCAGCATGTTTCATCATCAGTCTGTTGGAACAGTGGCCGGTCATTGTGTTGATCAGAGTTCTCAGGTTTTTCAAAGTTATCTTTACAATGTTGCTTTTATTCCAGTTCTTTGCCACCACAAAAAAGAGCTGCTATAAATATTTTTATACATACAGGTCCTTTTTCTTTGATCTGTTTGGGGTGTCCACCTAATAACGGCATTGCAGGGTCATAGGGTAGGTACAGTTTCGTAACTTTGGGGGCATAGTTCCCACTGCTTTCCCGAATGGCTGAACCTGTTCCCAGCTCCACTAATAGTGCATTAATGTACCTGTTTATCCACTGCCGCTCTATAATTTGTCATTTTCCTTTTTTTTTTGTTAATTTCACCAATCTGATGGGTGTGAGGTGGAATCTCAGAGTTTCTTTAATTTCCATTTTTCTAATTATTAATGATTCAGAACACTTTTTTCATATGGCTATTGATAGCCTGGATATTCATTTCTAAGATATTTTATCTTTACCTGAAGGGATGCTAAAATGAAAGCCCACAGGAACAGGAAGTCAAAAGAAGCTTTGTTTAAATTCTCTATGTACTTTTACATATCTCTAAATAAACTGGGATTATTTGTTCCAGTTAGCTCTTCAATGTAACTGTGAAGTGTTTGAGCTAAACAACAAACGTGATAGTTTAAAGGCAAAATGGAGATTAGATTGAGATTTAGTTAAAGCCCTACTTTATAAGAAACCCATATGCCAGATAGTAACTAGTAACAGTTTATGAACTTAGCTAAGCTGTTGAACAGAAATATTTCAAAACAGACACAGTCCACTTTTACAAGGGTTGCACTTACAGCTGGATTTATAAGATAGATGAAAGGACCACTCCCTTCAGCATTCACCCTGGTTCTGCCAGCTTCTGATAACAAACCTGCCTCAGCTCTTTTTGGACAGTCTTAAATTTCATTATCTCCCCCTCTGCAGAAGCTACAGAATCCAATTTTCAATAGCTTTCAAATTTACAGGTATGATCAGGAAACTAACCAACCATTAAGAGCCAGAAAAAGTGGCAAATGAAAAGCATATCAGTCTATTAAAGTAGGAAGACACTCTTCTCCAAACCTGTACTCTTTCTTTGTTACAGAGTTTAAGCTTGGTGGGTACATTTGCTATAGTCCTCTCAATGCCACTGAAAAAAATGATAAATACTGAAGAATCTTGTATGCATATTCTAGCTGCTACCCTAAAATAGTTTTATTCATTTAATAAGGACTTACTTGGTGTACCTTTGACCGGCAAACCATTAAAAAAAAAAAAAGGCTAGGATCACTGGAAATGTGTGTAAATTTAACTTACTTTGTAAAGAGGCAATAAGCTGGAGAACATGGGAATAAAGCCATTCAGACATATGAAATGGGATTAATAAGAACTAGGTTAGTCATCAGATACTAGTTTTAAGCCAGTTGCATGGAACTGTGCAGTGAAAACTACCAGGAGCTAAAAAAAACCAAAAGGGCAGTGCTGCCCTTGTAAATAAACACTCACAATAGGACTGAATTCCTTGAACCTTAACCATTACGGCTAACCTGGATTAGTCTTTAAGTCTGACCACAGGCCTGAACAGAACCTGTACATATAGTAAAGTAATTATAGTTGCATAATGGTTGGACTTTGATCCTTACCAAAGGATGTTATTCTCCTTGGTCCTTGTGGAAAAGTTTTAAATTGATGGAAACAATAAAACAAAACAAAACAAAATCAAAAACTATTAAATACAGCAAATGTATTGAACAACCTGTATAAGGGCAGGCCTGTAGTAGAGCAATGATGAAAAATATATATATGTGCTTTCTTATGTGAGATAGGGACCAAGAAGTTTGTAAAGCATTGAGGTTTCAAATTTCCCGTTTAAGCATAAGTTAACCTCTGGAAAGCTTGCTACTTACTTCATGGTAAGTGAATACAACTAAGCTCAAATCAATAAAGCTATTTCTTTGGAAGCAGAAGAGAAAAAGAAAAAATTTTGCCTACGAGGCTGTAACAATGAGGCAGTGAGAGATGTCTCATGCTATATGCAATGCAAACTATAGTCCTGGATACATGTGGTGGAAAACTCTTGAAAGGAGGCAAGCACCTGGCCTGTGTTTTAAAGGCCCAAGCTTTAATGATTTCACCTCCTGGAGATCATCACTGTTGCTACCAAACTCATCTGCCTGAAACCTTGGTAAGACAAGCCCCAAGGCAGACATTGTGGCTGTGTCCCCCTCCCCTGTGTTATAACCCACAGACATTTAAAGTGGGGAATAAGCCTTTCACCAATTTGGCTTAAAGTGTCAGCATCTTCATTCTGTGCTCTCAAGACTTATAGGAAATCAACAGTAACTTCCCCTCTGGAAAGTGTTAAAGTGTCCCATGATGCAGCCCAGCTCAAATGACAACTGTTTTAACAAGCTACAAGTCTGTCTACAAGTACAGTTGCTTCACACATGGAACAATTGCACATGGCTGATCTCCAAAGGTCAAACTCCCCTGAGCAAAAACAATCTGGATATTAACATATCCTCAGGGCTCGCTCTGAAGGTAATAGTAAATTTGATTTCAAACATTATCTATTTCTCAGGATTTGGGTATTTTAGAAACCCAAGTCTCACTCAGGAAGGGATAAGGTTTCCTCCTGTCTCTTCACACAACAGTCAATCTCATGCACAGGGTAATTTAAACAAACCATCTCATAGAAATTTCCATTTATAGAACCACTCCTAATTCTTGCCCCTTTAAGAAAATATGAGTGTGCTTTAATATAGGCAGGCTATTTCCCGCAAAAATGTATGGAACATCTTGAAGTAATAGCGCACACTTGGAATGTAAAGAATGCTTTCTCTCTTTATCAGGATTTCAACCAGAGGTTTCAGGGCAGGTTGCTCGAAGAACTGTTAAGTGGGTTATCCCATTCAAAGCCAAAGCAGTAACTCCTTTCAAAACCACACAATAAAACCCAACTTTGGTATTTTGGATGTTGTAATGTAAATAGATTACCACCAACACTCACATGGCTACCAAGCAGTACTATGAAAGATGCGAATGAACAAAATCATGTGTTTGTTAAATCACTTAATTATTTATAGTTGTACTTGGTATGGGGAAGGAATAACTGTTTGATGGAGATGTCACAAACCCTTACACAACTCCAAGAGTCTATTTAGACCCATATGTCTGTATACTCATTCCTTCCACCAACATCCTACTCCAACACTTCATCAGGGTGTGGAGGTAATTTAGGGGGACTAAAAGCTCTGGCCAGGCTGACTAAGCTGGGAAATCTTCATCATACCATTCTGTCTACTAAGATGTACTGGGATTGTGATTTTTGTCAGAGGAGAGTACACACATACTCAAAAAATCATGGATCCAGAAAATATATATTCACTCAGTCA